ATAAACGGTGGAATTGAACACATGAAGAGATGTGTAAACAAAATCAGGGCTCGGGGTAAAAGGTTGATAGTTGAAAGAAACCGAATAGGGGAACACCACTAGCCTCCTCTCGATTGTACTGGAGTCGCCGGTCGTCAGGCTCCTATACAGGAGGACGAACGCGACTGCTCGATGAATAGTGATGCGAAGCACAAGAAAAACTCAATTGTGCAAAATTATCCGCATGTGGAAATGAAAGGACATAGGCTAAGGAGCACCTGCGATTTGCAAAACCTTGACCAACAAAGACAACAGGCACCATAGTGAATTGCATACACCATAAAAGAGGATACAGCGACTAGCATTTATGGATGTGGTCCAAGACAAAGAAAGGGGAATATTAACTAAACAACTTGCTGTATAGTATGGTAAAGCCTTAAAGTCTCCCTTTGCTAGTTCGAAGTAGCTTCCTTAAAAGAGACTCAAATTCGATCTATAAATGCGTTTTAATGTTTATGTCTCAACAGCCGAAACGTTTCTTAGATGATCTCTTGATTAAACTGCAGAAGCCAAGATATTCACATGCTGGAATGCTCACCGTGATACCGACCAATATACACATGCTACGCATGAAAGGAGGAATCTGATTCTATTGGAAAATCACCCACAACTAGTTTAGCGATTTTCGAGGTAATTTAAGAAGACAAAAGTGAAGTATTTCCAAGAAACCATCTATTGTTATCCCGCGACATAAAAATGGCGCTGCCCACGAGGTTAAAAATTTTCGTCCCAGCAATCACACACCCATCGTATCTAGAATAATGGAAAGGATAGTGAAAGATGAACATTTTATACTCTTGAACCACGCTAACATTATCAGCAATTCGCAACACGGCTTCATGCAAGCTCAATCCTGCGCAACGTGTCAGACTGACTTTTTAAACCACACGACAGCTGCCACTGACAACGGAAACAGCGTCGTAATCCTGTTCCTGGATATGCAAAAAGCCTTTGATAGAGTGCCTCACAGAAGGTTACTAAACAAACTGAAGGCTATAAGCATTGGAGAACCGATGTTCTCTTGGCTGTCTTCATGTCAAATTGGTAGACAGCAGGTGGTGCGCATAGGCGACCATTTCTTTAAACTGAAAGCAATCACTAGTGGAGTGATTCAAGGGAGTGTTCTCGGTCCTCTTCTTTTGCTAATTTATATTAACGATATTTTCCAGAGAATAAGAAATGGTGTTGCAGTTATCTTTGCTGATGACATTAAAGTTGTCTACTCACAACCACGTACAAATACTCAGGAAGCCGTACGTCTCATACAGGATGATCTATTTGCCATTGACTCCTGGTGTTAACTGTGGCAGATGTCATTTGCCGCGGACAAGTGTACTATTTTGTCGTAAAAATGCCAAATATCGCCAGATAGTTTATTACTATAAGGCGCATATATCTCGCAATGCAGGGCAGTTCGCGACTTGGGCGTGCGATATTCAGTCACGTTTAATTTTTCTGAACACTGTGGCTTTCAAGTTTCGAAAGCCATGAAGACCATCGGGTATATCTGCCATCATTTTTACCTCACGGAATCTCGCATATCACTTTACAAAACGTATGTATTGCCGTGTATGGAATACTGTCTAATAGTACAGTCTAATCTGCGGAAATCTGACCAGCACGCTCTTCAGAGAGTCCAGAGAAGCTACACGAAAAAGCTATGTGGATATTCCTAAAAGTTGACATACAGAGAGTGATGTGTTAAATTTGGATTTGACCCAGTTTGACTCCGGATAATGAAGCTAAACGTATGTTTTCTTTACAGAATCATAAATTGTCAAATTCGCAGTCTTGAAAACGGTGTTCATATATCTTTAAACAGCAGATATCTAATACGTAACAAAGAGGTAAAGGTCATGATTCCAAAATTTACTACGAGAATCAGAGAACGTTTCTTTCTAACCCAATACTCAAAGAGTTGGAACAAACTTCCACGTGATATCAGAACATGCTATACACTTTGCAATTTTAAGCTTGCGATTAGTAAGCATTTAACCGTCCAAAATGTGATTAATATGTTCGGGACATCACAGTCCTTAGATAACACATACGAAAACGGTATCCACGGTGCCTGACTACATTTCCGAAACACACACACACATAACATTTAGGACAACAGCCCCTTTCATTACATTTTTTCTCGGCCCAAATATTTGTCATGTGGTTGTGAAGATTCCTGATTCAATGGCAGGAAAAAATAGCAGAACGATTCTGATTACTCTGTGTTACCTAATTTGCAATTGCGCCCATGTTTATCTCTGAAAATGTATTAATGAAATGTCATGGAAAAGTTGTACCATTACTTGATCTGTCCCTATTAGGGAACAGCTTTTCGCATGGTCAAGGAATATACAATTTATTTATTGCGAGATACGGTTAATGAAAGCATGCAGAGGTGCTTTATGAAGCGAGGAAGGTCTTCTGTTTGAACAGAGGCCAGGTAGAGTAGCTTCAATATTACATGGTGGGGTCAAAATGGACATCAAGGCAATGCAATCGTTTCGGTCCACTAAGCTAAGCTAGATGGTAGCACCCAAATGTCATGAAAACTACTCAAGTTATGAGAGTCAACTATTGAGAGCAGAACAAACCAGTTGCGGTATTTACTTCATTCGAGATTGGAAAAAGTTTGATGGTCCTAAGTAGTCGAAAATTAGCCCTGGGAGGTAACAGCTCGATTGAGGTAAAGCGTAAGTGGGACGGGTTGTTTCTGACTATGAGAGAGCACTACTTGGCGCTGAATGATTGACGGATACATGCCTTGAGTCAAGAACATCTTGTAACACTGCGAACCCACTAAGGTTAATTTACGTATAAGCGGCTCCGAATCATTTAAAATTGCGTCCAACCAACCTAAAGCTGATCCGAAAAAATCAGTCCGAAGTGGGTCAAACCTCCACCGTTTTGTGTGTTAGTCTAATAAGTCAAAAGCCAGAGATGGGTCCCCATGAGTAAATCCCTTCTACAGAAAAGTAAAACCAGAAAGTATCGTCATTCCGCACGAAATCTTCACCAGCAAGCTTTTTCTTTGTTGTTTCCTGTCAACCCATCAATTCTCTCTAGCAATAACCAACAAGAAACCACTACTGACCTGATCAGCCACACAGGCAAAGAATCCAAGTTCTGTTAAGAACCATTCTACACTGCATCTATCGAGGTCCACACATTGTCAGATGGGTCGACAGGTAAGATTGCGACGGCTTCACAGACTTTAATTGATGTATTGTGTGTCTTCGAAACGCATATGCAAAACATCAGTGCTCAAATATAACCTCGCTTAGCAGACCCTGGCTCCAACGGCAAGGTTTACAGAATTCGTGTTTTCAGTGATATCGGACCCATGATTCGCGGCAGTTGCGTGGTCAGATACATTCTCAGCCGGTTTCTCTCTTAAACTATATCCTGAGAGACAGACATATCGAGTCTATCTTGGCTAGGACAGACTGCAGTTGACCTGTGCAAGCGTGAGACTACAACGGGCGGTTTGTCATAGCGCACCAGAATCAATTTAGCTGACGGACGACTCGCTGGATCTGTGCAAAAAAGTTTGATTTTCATGTAATTGTAGAAGCCTGATGAGGAATTACCGAAAATAGATGTTCCCTTACACACGCATATATACCATACGACCTTGTTCGTTCGTCTTAGCGCCCACTGACTGCATCCCTGAAAACATCAAACAGGAACTCCGCGAAACAATTCAGATTCTCAATTGGAATGATTGTGTTCGTGGGGAGTGATATTGAAGATTAAGTCTGTGGTCTATCCGATTGAAAGAACTGCCAAGGAGGCCGCTTCAAAATCAACGTTTAATTTCACAGTTGTACCACCTCAGACGTCCACATCACGAAGGAGGCAAGTATTTCAAGAGTTGTTCGGCTCTTTAAAACCTCAATCACTTATGGAAATGGTGGAATACAGGCCTATCAGCGGATAGAAGGGATATCGACGATGGGGTGCAGCTAGTGTTGTCGTATGCATCAGAGATCTGGTCTCTTCGGGATGATAATAATTCATCGACTAGCAGCATGTGACCAAAAAATAACTACGTTGTATCAATCCAATTTCCTGGGAAAATCGGATGAGTAACACTAAAGTTCCTTATCCAGTAACCGGCGTCATACCTTCTGGTGCTACATCCGGCCGATTGTTGACCGCTGGTCGACTTAACCGGTTCGACCAGGTGTCGCATATGCGAGCACACGGTTGGCTCGGCGTGTATAGTTTGAAAATACCGTGTCTAGTCCGTTAAAATTTTGAGATAGACAAACAGTGAAACGAAGAAGAAAAAGCCTGTTGTGTTCTTGAGTGGGGTCCTCCAGGTTATTTACAGTAGTGATAAGTTATTCCATCGAGTATGGCGCGGTCACGAGGCAAATGACGCCCTTGGATTCGCTCCCTTATTCCCATATCTCAACCATTACATCTGACTGTTTCGATTCGTGTTCATTCCTACTACACGATCATTATCTCGGTGAAAAAATAGAAAACTAGATAGAATCTACATTATATTAGCGCACGAAGCAGTTGATAAACTGAAGTGAATTTAATTGAATACTGCGTTATGGGAGCAATTAGAAAATCGACTCTGTACAGCTCCATTGAAATATGATACAAAACGTAAACTTTTTCGATCTGCCATCTCTATACGTTAATGGATCATTAAGATCCCATGTAACGTGGTAAAATTATCTGACTGTCAGTGCCATGGGACGAGCAAATGTGAGATGACATTGCCAGCAGGCAATGGTTCATGAATTCCATAGTAGCGGAGTGTGATTCCAACGATGTTTTAATCTGCTACATAGATTTGGCCTCTAGTATATGGTCCGAACCGTGAACAATCGACTTTCAAAACACAAGAGGACGATGGATTCGCTTAAGCCAGGAGACTAAAGTTTGTAGCGGTGTGCCAGTATGCAGCATAATGTTCCAGGGTGAAACTGCCGCCTCGTCATGATATGCTACATAAGGTGAGTTACGATGAGATCGAATCGCATCCGACGATAGGACAGCGTGAAAAGTCATAGTCTAGCGCACTAGTATTGTTACAGTAAACAACGTAAATTAGGAATGGGTCTGATAGCGATGTCTATGTAGTTAACCTGCTCCATTTTATGGCACCTATATTTGATCACCACAGATAAAGAGTTCAGCAGTGACATGTTAAAGATACACGAAATATCTGTCCAACCACTTTAGGCTTTGGATGAAGAAACAGAAAATGTACGCCGAATCAACCAAGTACTTGGGACTAACTTGGGTTTTGAAGATGACGAACTCGGTAAGTGCATGCGTCCATGCGTAAGATTGTGAACCTAGTTTCAATTTCAATGCAGGATGAAACGTTTTGTTAAATTTTTATCCTGGATAAGTGTCCGCCCAATTGCCTTCAGCCAGAAAAAGTAGCAGTAGTACGTTGGCGGCATCCGGTTTCGGATTTGCGTCACTGTGGCCAGCCACAGGACGCCTGCGCCTACAGAGGGACCATGAGTGGCTCGCGCTGTACCACCCACAGCTCCAACCACACATCCTATATCCAGTGTAAACCCGAAGGAATAAGACCGGGAGACATGCGGATAGGAGCCACGTTTCATCAACGGAGCCGGCCCACACTCCTTCACAGGCAAACACAAGCTCGTTGTATTTGGGGATCAATCGCACACAAGGCGGTGGTTGGACCGTAGTCCGCTCCACACTGAGTGCATGGAACCACTCTTTGAGCCTAGCACGGCCACAAGGACCGTGCATCCCGTCCCCTCCAGCAACGACCAACTGTCTCCTGGAGCCAGTATGGACGAGGTAGTGGGTAATAGACAGGTAGGCACATTGTCATCATGCACATCAAGCGCAGCCACACCGGGGATATCAAGCAACAGCCAATCATCTGAGAGAAAGATAACAAAGAAAATAAATCGAGTAATGCATAAGGAAACGTGACAAAAATCTTAAATTAATGAGCATATGAAATAAGTTGTTTACAAAGGATCCGAGATAAGTTCAGGAGGTCAGAAAGTATATTTTACGGAAACGAGACAAACACGAAAATGTTATCGAAATTAAATACAATTGGCTTAAGCGAGTTGTGCAGGTTTACAGAAGAGCGTACTGGTGGATATTTATTTGAGAAAATAAGCATTAGGACAAAATTGAAAACTCACCACCTGAAATAAAGAGACTTAGCGTGCAAGCACGCGGTTAGTAAATCGAATGCAGCGTACTTACAAACGCTGCGCTGGTTTTGCCTACGTTCTCTGCAGGACCCGTCGTCGCTTCGGTAGAGGTCCCGAGTGGCCTTGCTGATGGCTCACTAAGCCTGCCTGACTCAGGCACTCGCGACCGCATGTGCTACAGCACGATTCGCTTGATGTCGATGGAGTACAACCCATCGGTGCTTGACGCTTCCGCATTTGCCGCTTCTTCTCCGCATGCATAAGGGCTTTATCCTGCACCTCGGCAACTGCCTTCGTGATCAAATCGCGCCACGCATGCCGATCAAAAGTCTTCGATTCCCATGATCTGCAATCAAGATTAGAATGTGAGAGGCTCACTTTGATTATGTCCACGTAAGGTAACTTTGGTTTCCCCACATGCCGCTTCTCTATACTCAGCTGACCATATAAGAGTTGTTTCGGTATCCACGTCGAATCCATACGGCTCCCATGACCGAGCCACCTCAGGTGTCTCAGCAAAAGTATGCAGTCCACTGCATACATTCCACTTCGACGCAACACTTCCGTGTCTGCAACTCTGTCGCCCCATCCGATACGCAGAATCCGTCGCAAACACTGTTGATGGAACCGCTCGAGATATCGCACATCCCGACGGTACATCGTCCACGTTTCACTGCGATATAGAAGAATGGACAGTACCATGGATTTGTACACCATCAGCTTCGTGCCAATGGTAAGCTGATGGTTGTTCCACACTCGGTACTCGAGCTTTCCAAATGCCGCCGCTGCCTTCGAGACGCGGATACGCAGCTCAACGTGTGGCTGCTGATCAATCGACATCACACTCCTAAGGTACCAGAAGCGGTAAATAGTTTCCAATACTTCAGCACCAATGCTGATTCGCAGCAATATTGAAGATTGCATCTCCGGTGAAGGCTGAAAGAGACAGGCAGTTTTGCTTGTGTTGATGGTGAGCCCAAATTTGGCCACTGTCGAACCCAGAGCCCTAGTCATGTGCTGTAACTCATCCGCGCTATGTGAAAACAACGCAGTCGTCAGCAAACAGCAACATACGGATAGTTGTCTCACAGACTAGAGTTCTCGCACCGAAACGACGGATGTTCAGCAACCCGCCATCAATACGGTGCTCCACACGAACACTCTAAGCACAAGCGGCATCAAAAGCACAGGATAGCATTGCATTAAGATATTTATTAAACAGGGCAGGAGCTAAGACACAGCCTTGCTTCCCACCAGAGACAACTGCAAAGTCATCCGAGGTCTCTCCACTCAGCTGCACCCTCCTTCGCATACCACTGTGCAGACATTCAATTAAACTTACAAACTTACGCGGACATCAAACTTACCTAACACCAGCCACAATGCCTCGCGGTTCACCGTACCAAATGCCTTGGTGAAATCAACAAAAAGCGAGTACAATGGCTGATGTCGTTCACTGCATTTCTCCTGCAACTGACGAGCCGCAAACACCATATCTATAGTGCTGCGACCCAAACGGAATTCACACTGCTCTTCCGCCACGTTCGGTTCCACAACCTGACTAACGAGGCGGTTGAGCAGGATTCGGGCAATCACCTTGCCCACACAACTCAGTAAGTTGATGCTATGATAATTCGTGCAACATTGCTTGCTACCTTTACCCCTGTACAGTGGTCGCACAGGGGCATCCTTCAGCTCAGCAGGCACCTCCTTTTCAATCCATACGCGTTGCACCAAGTGGTGCAGCGCAGTCAACAATGTGGGTCCGCCGTGTGTCAATACTTCAGGCGGGATCCGTCAGCCCCTGCACACTTGCAATTTCGCAGCTGAGCAAGTGCTCTCTGTGTCTCATCCAGTGTCGGCGTGTCCGCCAGAATCGTCTTCACATCGTGCTGCTTCAGGTAGTTCAATGTAGGCCAGTCGATCTCTGAACGGTTGTTCAAGAGACAGTCAAAGTGTTTCCGCCAGATCTGCATTATGTCTGCAGTCCGCGTGCAGGTAGCGCATGAACTACCATCGATCAGCGTCCTCAGCGGCTCCAATCTCTGTCCACAGACCGCCTGCAAGGAGTCAAAGAATTCTTTGTGTTGGCGGCGTTCGGCGTAGCATTCCATATGCCTCGCCTTCTCCGTCCACCATGCATTTTTAATGCGACGGAGCTCTCGGGTCAGTCGCCGTCGAAGTTTGCGAAACTGACTACTCTTCCCCAAGTCACTGGGGTCTGCCATATGTGCAGCAAATGCTACATTCTTCTCCGACACAAATGCGCCAACCGTCGCATTATTCTTATCAAATCAATCAGGCCGCTTACAGTTTGTGCGCCCGATGATCTCCTCGGCAGCAACTGTCACCTGGTCGTGAATGGGGTGTCACAGGTCGCCAACTGTGGCTACGCAGTCACATCACACAGGCGTTCAGCCATCACCTTCTCCAGCTCAATACGTTTGGCCACAATACAGAGGGATAGAATGTTAAATTTACGCCAATTCACGGCGGGAGTGCAATACATAGGCTTACGAAGATATATGGACATTTCGGCCCGCACTAATTTATGGTCAGTGCCACACTCAGCTCCACGCAGTACACGTGCCATGCGCACTTTACGCCACCCAGAGCCTTTGGCTCTATAGCCTGATCCACAATGCGGTGGGTTGTTTCGAGGTTTGCTTGAGGAACTCCGCCCGGAGCCTTTGGCTCAATGACCTGACCCACAAGGCAGTTGGGAGCATATCCAGCTCGGGAATGTGATTGGAGAGACAGATTGGGATCTGCTTGACGGCCTTCACACACAGCCTTTGAGGTACTGGAACGATCGATATATGTTTTGTGACCGTAGTAGGATACACCTGCGGCCACGGCCAGACGCAGGTGGGTTTTGGCGGCTTTGCACCAATTTAACCAGGGGCTGCCTGCCTTGAGGCGGGCAGTAGCAAACCACTGAACACCCGAAGGTGCCCTCCCACCGTCAGAGACAATGCGTGGCACTCGTGCTCTACGCCAATCGAGCTGTGAGCTTATAACCCATAGACCTGTTGTCTCCCATGATTAGGTTTTGCTGGAAGAGGGCCATCGACCACTTCCTAACCTCCGAGGAGGATGGACTAGGATACTGGCAGGGGGCCCAACCTGACAGAGGAACGACTCGGGTCCACAGCCAAAGCCTTCGATTAAATGTATACCCGAAAGGCAGCGGGTCTAGCACATGGTCAGTTCACTGACTCATGCGGATTGGTGTCCTGGATTTTAGCAGGGAGAAGGGCGTACCCCAACTCCCACCCAGCGGTCGCCACAAGGAGACGTCCAGGACACAAGCCCATGGCAAAACGGTAGCAGCATTGGGTAGACCATCTGTCAGGATGTAGGCAACACCAGCCTCGACGCACCATAGGCTCTCACGTCATATATATATATATATATATATATATATATATATATATATATATATATATATATATATATATATATATATGGACAGCAGTAGATAAAGTATGCATCGAGTCATTCAAAACCATGGAATTTGGAATAAAGAATAATTAATTGTACAAAACAAGCAAAAAGACTTAATAATGAATGAAAAGCGGAACAACAAATTGTCGTTTTACACACGCCATTTTGTAAACGTGTGTTCACACAGACGTGTGCCCATTGTTTCCAATGCGACCTGTTTTGCCCCATTGCTTCCAGCGTTGTAAGCCATTGGTACTCTTCATCTTTGGGTCCGCAGCCGGTGAGTCGTACGCGACCAGCGAGGGCCAAGCAAAATGTCATTGATTTCATGCACTGTCGCCAGGTGAACGGTTGACCTCCACGCCAAATTTTCCAAAGTAACCCTACGTATGCAAACAGGGCGCGGCATAGTAGGCATGCGCAGGACGTGGTCAAACCAGCACAACTGACGCAGCCGGACGACATCTCAAAGCGGACCATCCGTCGTGCCCAAGACGCGTTGGATAACGTCATTACTGCGCATCCGGTATCGCCAACGCACGCGGGCATTTATCCGCAAACAGCTACTGTCAAAGGCCGAAAGACTACGCATGTCTTCCACATAGATTTGCCAGGATTCGCATCCGCACAGCAATGTCGCGCGTACACAGGCTTTGTACACAATGCCTTTTAGTGATAGTGAAATATTTCAGGATGGCGTCACGGATGTCATAAGTTGGCAAACGTTACTCAGGCTTGAGCGATTTGAAGGGATACCTTTGCTCCGAAAGTGTCGTCAGCAGAGACGCAGCTCCCTTGGTATATAAAACTATTTACGTGTTCGAGCTGTGTGTCTTCAATGATAAATTGTGGAAGGGGTGCCTGCCAGTCCTGAAAAAGAACTTTGAAGTTGGAGATGGAAAAGCACTTAGATGCTTCAATCACCAAACAGTCAATGATCGATTGCTTCCCATAGGATCGTCACAGAGCAAGGCAGTATCATCAGCGTAGTCTAAGTCGCTCGCGCGATTACCTGGAGAAAGCTCGATGCTGAAGTTCTGCAGGCCCTTTTAAGCTCCCATAAAGAGATCATCGATCGCAGAGCTGAATGGAAACGGTGAAATTGTGCTTGGTTGTCGCACACCACTGATGACAGGGAAGAGTGGGGAATGCATGTCACAGGCTCTCATTCGGCCTGAAGTGTGGAGGTATAGCGTGCGAGGTATAGTGACGTACTTTTCCGGAACTCCATTATTCAGCAGTCAGTTCCATAAAGCAGGTCAGTCTATCGAGTAGAGCGCAGCCTGAATATCCAGGCAAGTGATGATGGTGGGTCAGCGGTAGGGGTGATGATACTCCAGGAGTTGGCGAAGAGTGAATATTTGACCCACATCCTCGACCGGGGCGAAAACCAGTCTGCTCCTCCCGTTAGTGTGACTCATATGTGGGGATAATCTACGGAGTATGATGGATGCTAGTAGCTTGGAGGCAACATGGATCAGACTAATGTCACCTGTAATTTGCACACAAAGTGTGAGAAACTTTGTTGAAGCTTGGAACAAGGATTGAGTCCGCCAGAAACAGGAGACCCTTTATTTTTGCCAGATTTTCAGAAACAGGGGCGTTAGCTGCTTAAGCACTGCTGTACCACCGTATTTGAACAACTGTTGGATTTTTATCTCAGCTGACCGCCTTGAGGAGCTGCAAGTGACGAATCTCAAGACAAACCCTCGCTTTGGTTGGTGGTTTGAGTGGCACTGGCCGTGAAGTGCGACTGGGCGTACTGAGGATAAAGGTGATGGCGAGGAACAACTGAACTGAGAATGAAGTACTCAGCGCATCTGTCCGTGTGTCTCTGCAAATGAATCATTTGTGACCCGTCCGCCCCAAAGACGACCTTGCTGATACCAGACATCGTGTGTCTAGTCGTCCGATTGAGCTGAAACAGCTTGCGCGTGTTTCTAGTGAGGGCGGCAGCCACCATATCCAAGGCGCGTTAGGACTCCCAACTTCCCAATCGCTGCGAAGGTTTCGTTTGAGTTGTCTGCTGATAATTCGGCGAACTTCATTCTGGTCTGGGTTTACTGAGAGAGTTCGGTGGCGGTCGAACTGTGTCAAGGATCGCGCTGATATCCAACCCTTCAGCGGGTGATGAGATAACACACAGACTGATTGGCCTGAAGTTAGAATAGCTTGCTGCAAGAACTTCCAGTGGTGTACAAGATCACTGGGTGAGACACAGGTTAGTGTGCTTGCCAGTGACAGTTGATGGTGTAGCTGAACTGACTGACCAGCTAGCCCGTTCGTACCGAGCTTACAAAGCCTCCGTTTTTGATCTCTTCCGAATCGCACGCAAACGTTGACACAGACTAGTGCGTGATCTGAATCGCGGTAGGTGGACGAAAAGGACCTCCAGTCTTGTATGCTACCACATCACCTAAAACTGATTGCACTGTGGTCTATTTGCGACTAAGCCTGCGACGGTGAACGTGGTGGCAGAGCGCCTCCTCTAGTGCTTGCTAGAAATAGGCTGTTGTCTTCGCACACATTGCGATGTCTGGTTCCGTTATCTGAACGATTCTCGTTCAGTGCTCTGACCCTAGAAAAAATAAATTGATAAAAATGAGTCTAAGCGGGGTATTTCAAACCTAGCACTCCTTAGCCAGAAGCTAGACATAAACAAAGAAGGAGTGCCGTAACAAGTTATCTAAGTCCAAACTGGCACATGCCTCTGTGGAGTCAGATATTCCATTTCGGATGGGAATTGGACGATCGATATCCAATGCGTTTAAGATGCATACAGAACGTTTATGGTGTTTATTTTATGATATTGCTCTGTATGCTTGAATTCTAACAAATAGTATATTGGGTATGGACTTTCAAAGCGGCGCCAATAAACGTCTTATGCAGGTGCAACTGGCAAATGTCATTAAAGGTACACAGAGAGAAATGAAAGTAACATATGGTGGATAGCATCCTGAGAAAATCGATTAAGGAAAATATAATACACTACTTACAATAAGAACAATTAACATAGACCGTCGGAGCTTTGTTCCGAGTCAGATGACTAGCGCCGATTGTTCAGAGTGCGCTGTGAAAAAGCGTTTTCGCCAGAGTGAGATATGATTCATGAATTTGTAAGCAATGTTATTGAAATTACTTCGGTAGTAAGAATTTAGTTCATAAAACAGTACGAGACTAGCCAAGTAGTCCCGTGGTCAGTTGAAGCGAGATCACAATGAAACACTGTGATAGATACCAAAGCGATGAACACATCGGCCAATCCTTCTCGGAACCACAAATAGAGTAGAGTCAGGAGATTGTGCCGTCTGTTTGATCTCTCCAATGTATTGGGTTCCTCTAGCTAGCCAGCCGGACAGTGGCTGCTGCTGCTGAATGACATAACAGCCCGTTGTTGAAAATATTGTTGTTTGAATCATGATTAATTTAGATAAGAGAAAATAACTGTGATGCAGCATAAGAATGACCCATTTGAATATGAGATTCTCGCCGAATTATCTCATTTTTTGGATTCTTTCAGCTCGCACACTATACATTATTGCCGAACAATCCAGTAACCCATACGAAATGATGACGGCAATAGAGAGTGAACAACTGCGCATGTACTATATACCAACGGAAGTAATGTACCAAATATGGACAGTAGTGTGTCAACCGCGACGATACTCTCCGATGGGTGGAGTTAACATTTGGCACAAAGACTGCTACGCCCGGCAAGACAAACACAACATACCCGTAATGCGAATGAGGCGTCGATTATGAAATAGTACCAGCGTACATTAGCAGAGAAAGAAAATTAGCACAAATGGAGAAAAACGATTACAATGGCAAGGCTGCAGATGTCAATAGTGCATAAGAGCGATCTCTTGTTCACTTTCATCAAAGACCACAAATTTGGACACCTGGTCGCGTTACAACTTTTATTATCAATGTATTCACGATATTGTGACCGCACAAAATGTCTTGGGCCTCGTGTCTCAACGCTATTTGCACAGAGCACTACAATCAGTGATTATTCATTTCCTAATAATATTATGCATATCAAAACGCTCTTGGATAAAAAAACAATGACCTCAGAACGTTCCCAACTCTACACTAATTCTAGTTGCGCCTCCACAGTCCATGAATGATGTTACATGGATATGGGTGGAATGCTCAGACCATTTCCACAAGCGGAGTGACCAGGAAGAGTTACAGGTAAAGCATGAGCCCCCGACTGAATGGCGTATGCTCTTGTGCGTGGGGATAATCCAATGAAATATCGCAAATATCGGATCATCTAGTTTTTCTTTAGGGTCAACTTACATTCTGATGGAGTGAGAAGAGTAGTCCGCAGTACTCAGTGTTACCACTCACGAACCATCTATAGGTATCAAATAGCATCAACTCGTTGACCCAAACTGGTTTCCACCTTAGGGCTAATGCTTTGATTACGAGTTTGCTCCAAGCAACGATACACATTTAGAAGAAATACGCTGGTCATTTAAGTCAACCAAGTCACTTTTGATTCGGTTGATTGGACCGGTCCGCCGTTTTTTTTCTGGACTGGAAGGTGTCTTATAGAAATGCCACTTAGTAGCACAACTGTACAGAACCGAAACTTGAAAATGACCAGCGTGACTTAACTAACAATGTCTGTGAGGATCATAGTGAATAAATAAATAGTTTATTCTCGAATGCATCGAGGCTGCTTGCTGACTTCCTCTTTCGGGGTAGAAACTCCAACACGTGGGGTCATCGATGATCTACTGTACAAATTCTCGAGATTTGAAAATAGCCGGTTGATGCATTTGTTTTCCTAAAATCAAGACTTTCCGATCGGTTCCGAAAATCGGAACTGAGCACTTTTAAGGCGCAAGGTATTGCTGCGAGAGTTGATCCACTCACAAATGATCATCAAGCTTACAAAGATCGATTCACCCAACTATTTAACTGCATAGTCCCAGAGATTATTCACTGCTTCAGTAAGGCGCATATGGAGGTTTGCAAGTCTTGATCACCAACGGAAGCAACGAGTTGACTGCCGAAAGATCACCGATGACTGGAAAGAGTCACACGCACCACCGCGGGATAATTAAAAATAAAGTCCTGCTGTAAGGAACCGGTAGCAAACTAGGTGCCGATTCGCCGGTTCTTCAAGGTTATCTTTCACCAGACTTGTTGTTGCTAAGAATGCAGACGATTTGGTTAATTACCAAGACAATAATGTGAAGACTATGTCAGGAGTATAAAGTCACGCTAGGACGTGAAACCTAGTAGGGTGAAGACGATGAGATTAACTGTATAAGCTAGTACAGATAACCGGTGACAGCACACTTAACCAGACTGTTAAACATCTATGACCAAAACGTCGAAATGCTGTTCTGCCAGGACGATAACACTCAACGATAGTGGAGAAAATAAGGGAAAACAGAACAAAAAGGGTACTGAATTAAAATAAGGGGCAAATTTTTTCGGATGTGTAGCGTTAAAGAGTGCTGTTGACTAACCAACTACACCGGGTCGGAGGGATCATCATCATCATACACGTTAGCTAGAGGTGGAGAACACTTCAGCTGCTGTGCCGCAATACACAGAAAAAAGGAGAAAAAAAGAATGCAACTGGTGCAAGCTGGCTGAGCAACCGGTAACGGATGGGCATCGTTCCGGTAAGCTACCAGCCAGCTGCTGTGCACCCAAAAAATTACTATGCAATATTATATATAAGCCTGAATAATGAGATCGTGGTTGGAGAAGGAGGCTAAGAGGAATGGGGTGGGACAAAGGAACTCACAGCACGAACGCCACTGAGGTCGGCTTCTAGCCATGTCAGCAAGTGTGTCCAACCAAACGTGTTCATCGTCTTTCGGACCCCAACCAGGGAGCCGAGACGCTCCAACCGAGGCCAGCTCAGAAGTGAGGGCCTTCATTCCTCTCGACCAAGTCATCGCTTGGCCACCCCTCCTCTTCTTCCATCCACACCCCCGGCGCGCAAACAACACACGTCGCGGATGTCGGTGGGCTGGCATGCGTAACACGTGGCCGAGCCATCGGAGCCTGATGCGTGAAATAACGGTGCTGAGCGTTTCAGTTCCTTTTCCTGTGCCATAAACAAGGCGTCGAACACGCTGGTTGCTCACGCGGTGTTCCCACCAGATGTGAGCTAAATTACGAAGGCACCGGTGGTCGGAGGGACTCCTACCATTGATGTGCTCCGTCTCGAAACAGACAGTTTCGCAGTCCGTTTCACTGCCTTTTCTGTCACGCCACCAGCTGGACCTACTGCGGTCACACCGCACCGAGATTAGCGGTTATCGAGTATACAAAAGATACGAGTTCTACTTCCAAACATCAAAAGACGGACTTGGATGCTGGTACCTCTGTTTTCTCAGTAGATATGACTAATGCTAGCCGGATGTCCGGTTGTGGTCCAAAGGTGACCGTTTCGAATCCGGTCGGTGCGGATGACCAAATAGTATTCATGTGCCGTGCGCAACTGGTGGTGGTCGCGTGGCAGCAAAGCATCGGTACAGTGTGCCGGCGTACTACTAATGTCCTCCAGCCCCTATGACCGAAAATAACCGGTTACTTAATGTCTTTAACTCACGGTGGTCGAGTATGATATACAAGGTAACAATGCATGCATCGGAGCAATGTACACGCAACGCTGAACCGGTGAACTGATACTCCACCGCCTGCATAGGTAAAGGGAAGTTAAAGTCATCCAGGTAATACCGGTGCATAAGGCCTCTTCGATGATGAAACCGACACGGAAAGTACAGCAAAGTAGGGAAGAAAGGTGGTAGCAGCACACAGCAGGTGCAGAGATGCTCCCGCTGTCATGTGACCGCAAGTAGTAGTGCGGAGACTGGCGCATACCGCCAAGGTGCCCAAACCCGTGCAGTAGTGGGATGCCGGCGACAAAGCACCGAAATCACAACCTGGGAACCTGAACCACTATGTCATAAGTGATGTGGCTGTGAGGGTAATTGAAACTTTATACCACCTAAGGTGCTGCTAGTTGATATCGACCGAAATGATGATGATTCAGCGCAGCGCTTCCAACGCTACCGATCTATCCTCTGCTCATCACAGTCACGTTTCCTGTTTTACCCAATCACGGTGGTTGTATTTTGGTGGATAAGTGAAATATGTTAAACAGATTCGTAACATAACGGTGCCCGAATCATTGCATAGTGAAGCAATAGAACTGAAGATAATCCCCAGAATTAGAGAAGAATTACTCGAAGAGGAAAATAAACCGTATATACAGACAGAACTGGAGTGATCACGGGATTTTGTCGAACACACGGCCATGTACACAAACCGGAATAGATTGACGTTCTGATTGTGTGGTAGTATCAGCAACTAGGTTAAATGACGATAGACGAAGTGTTACCGAGGGCCCCACTTAATGTTTTCTAAGCCATGAAATTGGCGCTTCAGTTGGTTTGGCTCACTCCAAGCAGAATCCAGATAGCAGTCTTCATCATTAGCTTCAAGCTTCTTCCACTCTTCTTGTTTCCTGTAATAATAAGCCATCATGGCCTTCTGTTGCTCCTCATCAATTACTGGCTCTCTGGCTGGCGCGCCTGCGCCACGCTTAGAAAGTTTGGCGACAATCTTCGTTTTTTCGTTGCGTCCAACATAGTCCGACAACACTTTCCCTCGTAGCATTTCCTTTCCTGAGAACCATATGGTGGCGTTTTCGACCGGAATCACCTCTTGAGAAGCCTGGAAAAACAAGGATATTCGGTAGTTATGTTGGTAAAAATCAAATGGAAAGCAGGTGAAGCATCAGTATTGTTAAACACCGTGCACTGATATAGGATGCCATAGGTGCTGCGCACAAACAAAAACAAAAGCGAATTCAGTACAAAAAGCAGGAACAAAGTAAACAAATATTCAATGAATAAAACAAACAGAAAATATACGGTGGTTAAGAGTGTCCTGGTCTTGTATACAGACTATCTTCGGAAGTTAGAACGGTTTGCTGATTCAGAAACGCAATGAAAGCATTTAGTTATCTAGATCAGATTATTGCGTGGTCCCCAGTTAGTGTACATATCTCAGATACACTCAAGGAAACACTGTACGAGAAGGAAGCCTCTGGACCACTATGTGCAAAAGGGATCTAGACCTCGGAGGAAAAAGCAATGCTTAGTGAACAAATGAGCCGCTCGCCAAAAATACCTTGAAGCACCTGTTGACTACAACACCGCTAAAAATGAGTCATATCGGAGAGGAGTGAGTTGCGGAGCAGCTTTCACAATCGCAGTTCCGACTGAGAACTACAACAATAACGCAACATTTTCTTTGGAGGAAAACAGCGGCAAACAAACATCGGTCGGATGGTTGCGAGCGTGCCTTGAATTTATGGTGCTAGGTTTGTGGCCGAGTTGACACCGTTAAATAAGATAAAAAATATAAGAAGATAGGTTTAAGGTGCAGAACAAGTTAAAAAAAACTCTGCGATGATCCAGAAAGCTTTCGCAGCCGGATCGTTCAAGCAGTCACTGTACCCAAACCGCAATCGTTCGTATGGCTTGCCCAACACAAAAAGGGTTTCACACCCTCAGCGTCAAGAGTTGAATGCCACGAATTTCCAACGAGACTGCATCCTCCGTCAGCTATGTGTTCGGATGGAGTACCATGATGACTACTGCAAACTTAAATCAATCATGAAGGCCGAACCTAGTCAAAAGGAGAGGCTCAGAGTCAAACCGAGAATGTCATAAGCAGTACGCCTGCACACTGTACCGACGCTTCGCTGCCACACGGCCAACACGGGTCGCGCGAAGACTGAATATACCGTGAGGACGTCCGCCCCTCCGGGGATTCGAACCAGGGACCTAGGGATTGCAAGCCAGGCATGCAACCCTATCGGCCATTGGTCGGTAGATTCACACAAAAGCCTAAAATGGATACCGTCTGCTGGCCACATTCTAAGGCTATACCGCTGACCACAAAAGGTCACTTACATCCTGATCAATGGCCAGCTGGTTCGATTGTAGTTGCAGATCGGGGAACGCCTTCATCGCAAACGTAACCGAATATGCCTCGGCTGTTCGCAGGTGAGATGAATAAGCAATCGCAGACCATCAGCGGCAGCATCCTAGAGCGTGGGGGTTCTGGTCTGGTCATCACAGGAGCTCCTAAGACGCTATGTTAGAGCTAATATGACTGGCTATAAGGTCACTGACCACACACTTCTGCGACCAAAAGTGAGTACGCAACGGAGGACGGACGGACTATCTCGATGGCCACCGGCTTCTGGGTAGGTGTATGAGCCATCTGGCTGTCAACAGTCTTCGTGCACTTCTGCGAGTTCCGTAGTACAGGAAATTTCTCCTGGTCTCCGTGTTGCTTCATTCGAGGTTCTTGAGCGTTCTGAGGTTGTGCCTATTAGAAAGCCGTGTTATCATCATCGTGGTAGCCGGATACCAACGGTATGCTATATACGTCAATCGCCCAACTGCCTTGCGGGTCAGGTCAGGATCCGGGTGGGGTAAACAAAGTCAACCTCTTCTTCGGCCTTGGCAACCGGGAAGCCAGTTATGGACCAATGTTTCAACGACTTTCTGCTCTCCATTTCTCTCTCTTTGCTCTTCGCCAATGCTACCCTCGGCCGAGGTGCTGGCGGCCGAACACGCTTTATCGCGCTCTGCCGCACCAAAGTCCAGTTATTTAATTTTTAGGTTTGTTCAACTCCCATCCTTGGTAATCCCCTTCGGTTTCAGAGTTTACAACACCGTACCGCCTTGGGCGAATGATCTCGCTATACGGACCAGGAATTTAGGTCAGACAGTGCGCCTCCAAGTAATACCCCCAAGCCGTTCCTAGCGCCCTGTTCCCAATTCAAACTGGCGATCTTCAAAGTTCGGACGATGATGCAGATCGGAGCACAAGCAACGCTTGCTCGCACGCTTGTGACTACTGGCATCGATGTCTGCTGCCTCACCGGTCTGCAATCATAAGGTCACTGGTTCAAATCCGCGCAGAGGCGGGAGTCCTCGCGGTATATTCAGTGCACACGAGACTGGTGGTGGTCGCGTGGCAGCGAAGCGCCGTTACGGCGTACAGCTGGCGATTTATTTTATTATTAATGAAACCAGATAACAAAACCCTAGAACGACGCTACGGCTAATTTCACAGTCTGTGAGTTCAGCTGACATTTACATTGTGCAATCGCCGAAGCAGCTGGTCATGCCGGTGTGGGGATTGCGTTGTGCTTACGTGCCGAGGCAGCGCTATATACTGGATCCCTGTAAACAGTCTACTCTGTGCGATTCGATTTGAAACCTCAGTGTGACTTGAAAGAATTGTCCTGTTCTCCGAGCTGGGCATTTCTGTTGCAGACGTTTCGTTACCAAACTAGGTAACATCTTCAGTGCAGCTATTTGGTGTTGATTCGCGGAGTCTCGCAAACCAATGCCAGATCTGAATGACTATTGATTGTTGCCTGCTTCGAATGTCAGCCTTCGATCGGTTCACGTGTCCGTCATGTGGGCACCTCTTCTCCTTGTCGATCTGGTGCCTAATGCTGGCTTAACCTGCAGAGCTTCATAGACACCCTCCAGCTCCAGGTGTTTGTTGATTGAGTTCCGGCCAGAATGCCAGGCCTCGAGGAACTCACGCGCTCTGCGGTTTTTTGCTCTTCCAAGTATTTCAACGTTCTCCAGATCAAACTGATGGTTCTCGGCATCCATGTGTACCGACATTAGGGATTTCTCATCGTGGCGGCGGATGGCCAGACTATGTTCGTGCAGTCTTGTGCCAAGTTTTCTTCCAGTCTGGCCTACATAGTACTTCTCACAGTTCTTGCAGGAAATTTTGTAAACCACACCCGATGTTTCTTTCTTAGACAGTCTGTCCTTCACCTTAAAAAGTTTATTTCGTATGGTTTCCGTTGCTTCGTGTGCAACAGTTATCCCGTGAGGCATTAGAAGCCTCGCTGCCATTTCAGAAATCCCATGGATGTAAGGTAGGATAATCGTTCTTCTTTCTGTTGCACATGTGGACGCGGGTGGGGACCGGCTCTTCGACATCAGGCAGCGTAGAATAAAGCTTCTAGGGTAAGAATTTCGATGAAACATGTTAAATAGGTGGTCCTCCTCCGCCTTCCTCAGTTGCGGCGTGCTACAATGTGTCTGGGCCCGTTTGAAAAGCGTCCTCACGCAACTTCGCTTGTATGTGATCGGATGGTTACTGCGATAGTTTAAGATCTGATCGGTGTGGGTCGCTTTCCGATAAACTGTTGTTTCCAGTGACCCAGAAGCATGTCTTCTCACGAGCACGTCCAAGAATGGCAACTGATCATTGTTCTCTTCCTCTTTGGTGAAATGGATGCCGGAAAAAATATTGTTGATTAGTTGATGTGATTCTTGTAGTCTGGAGCGTTTGAGGATGACAAAAGTATCATCTACGTAACGTACCCAAAGTTTGGGCTCCACTATTGGCAATGCCTTCTCTTCCAAGCTTTGCATCACTGCTTCCGCTACCAGTCCAGAGATTGGCGATCCCATTGGCGTACCCATTATCTGTTTGTACATTTGACCGTTAAAAGTGAAATGTGTGGTGAGACAGAAATCAAGCAACTCCATCATTTGTGTGGTTTCAATTCGGTTGCTGGTATTTACCGCTCCGTGTTGTTCAAGCAGAGTCCTCATTGTTTGCTTTGCCAGTGTCGTGTCAATTGATGTGAACAAAGCTGTAACGTCAAAAGAGACCATTATCTCGTCTCTTTCTATTGTTATTCCCTTAAGTTTTTCAAGAAATTGTTCTGCCGAATGGATTGAGTGCTCTGAGCCTGCGATTAGATGTTTCAACCGTTTCCAAAGTTCCTTAGACAGCTTGTAATTTGGTGCCCCGGGTAATGACACGATAGGGCGAAGCGGTACCCCATTTTTGTGTACTTTAGGGAGGCCGTAGAACCGTGGTAGAACTGAATCCTCGGGTTTCATCTTGCTGTGTTCTAACTTCGTGATCTGTCCCATTTGTTCCAATCTTTGAAGAGTTTTGTTGATCTTGCTTTCCAGACGTTTTGTAGGGTCTTCACTTATCGGCTGGTAGGTGTTCACATCTCCGAGCAGTTCTTGTGCTTTCTTCATGTAGTCAGTTTTGTCCATTATTACAGTAAGACGTCCCTTGTCGGCCGGTAGTATAACAATAGTCTTGTCTTTTCTGAGGTTTGTCAGTGCCTTTCGTTCGCTTACACTGAATATGTTAGTTTCCACTTTGTGACTCAGAGCGGGGATGACGCTGTGTCTAATTGCATGTTGGGCTTCAGTTGTGATGTTTGATGTGGTCAGCGTTGATTCAAGTGCAGCAAGGAAATCAATGGGATTGGAATCTTTGTAATTGACTTGCAAACCTCGCACAATAACTGCTCTTTCTGTATCTGACAGGGTTCGTTTGGATAGATTCTTAATCCATGCGTCTTCTTCGTTTGCTGGTTTTTGTTGCGAGATTCTGTCCAACTTCCTTTCTAGTTTTTGCTTTGTTTGGAATTTGGTCTTATGGGTACTAATGGCAATCGCTTTCTCAAGCTCTCTGGTTAACTGTTCCCCGAGGTTGGACAAACAAATGGCCTTTTCTTGGTCGATTACTCGTTGATACTTTTGCCATCGGTTGTGTGCATCCGTGATCAACAGACGCAGCATTCGTCGTCCATGTTGTTCTGTGATCTTCCAGGCCAACGGATTGTTGATGGGTGGACGATAGTGCATACTTGG